TGAAACCTTTGGGACCTCCGCTGGATGGACCTCCTCTTCCTTTTAGGGTTCATTACTTGTACCCTTAGGAAATGGAACTTTAGGCCGGCGAGTGGCACCGCTTTCAGTTCAGTACACAATATCCTAAGTGTGTGTGCGCAATTCTTTGCGCAATATGGCGTTCCTGATTCTCATGAGGAGGTGTATGCATCAAAAGGGTACACATGCCCAACAGCTACATGTGCCGCCCAAAAAGATTCTACCTTCACATGCAAAGCCTAAAAACTTTGTACAGTACATTTGCGCTGAAGACCTTAGTAAGCTTTCCGAGTGGTATTGCTAAAGTTCAAGCATCGACAGTATCGAAATGAAAAGGTGTCGGGGCTTTGCCCAGAACTGCTTCTCTCTTCATTCGCTGCAGGCTTGGCATCAAGCTGCTGCCTCAGCAGCATTGCAACCAAACCAGGTACAGCTGAAGTTTCAAGCTGCCTGACAAGACTTTCTGCAGTATCGTGGTTTTGTTGTAGTCCTGAGCTCGTAGGACCCTTGGAGACCATCGACACCACATGTGGAAAGCGCTTTTTGCACGCTGCTTAGACTCGATCAAGCTTGTGATTTCACTCACCTCGACTCACCCCTCTCGATAGTTCTCTTGTGTCAAGGTCTGACAGAAATGGTCGAATTTCTGAAGCGAAGGTTGGAGGCTAGTTGTAGATCCATCTCTTTTCGAAGGTGTGTTGTTCATTGCGCTGGAAACTGAACAGGCGCAAAGTAAGCAAATGAGGCTGGGCATCATCATGAGGAACGCGTTGCTTTGTTCAAAACAAGAGGTTGTCGTTTTAAGAGAAGCTGGCGTTGCCTTATAGCGTCCTTCCAAAGTCCGGATGAAAATGCAATCGGTTTCAATCCAGAATGTACGCCAGCCATTTGGGCTGCTTTTTGTGCTACCCGCTGTTGCTCACTACGATTGCCAACAAATCGAGCTTGTTCCTGATTTGATTTATCAACAATTGTTCCATAAATTGAATCAAACAGCAATTGCCCCAAATATTAAATCAAATAATTAAATCCAATTTTGCTATGAATTCCCACTCAACATGATTGAGGCATCTAAAAGCTGAACTAAATGCACGGTCTCGCTTAGCGAAAACACTTGAAAAGAGATGAAACAAAAAATGAATTTGGATGTATTACAAATATATTATATATATAATATATAATATTTTTTATATATTATATATATATTAATATTATATAGAAAACATATATTTATTTAATTTTAAAAGCGCCATTTTAGCTTAAAAGGCGCGCGGGTGGGCTACTTGGGGTAGTGTTATGATTTTTCTTTATTGATTCTAACCTATTTGATCTACGTAGCTATTTTTGTTTTTGATCGTAATAGTTTGTTAACTGAAGAATCCGATTTTAAGTCCGGATAATATGGGTCTTTATTGGGATATAGACTAAATATTTCTTATGTTGGGTTTATCTGTTTAAATTTATATTTAGGATTTAATGGATGGTCGTGATTATCGTGCATTTGGATGCGTTTGTAGAATTGCTTGGGACTTAACTTATAATGCTTTTGAACCAGTTATAGGTGCGGTGCTGCATGGCGAGATTTGCACTGTCTTTTAGGAACGTTTTTATTTTTTTTTTTCTATATTTCTTGATGATTTTATGCAGGTGATGAAATCGTGTAATTAGGGCCCAGCCTCTAAACAAGGTGGAGATTTGTGTGCCCTCGGAGGAGACGTGTCTCGCTCCGTGCCTGCCACATTTGGGCAATTAGAGAAGGCAATTGGGTGGTCGATGGTATCGGATGCTTGCTGGGTGGAAATTACTGTCGATAAAGATGAATTAGTTGTGCTTCTAACTTGGTACACTAATCGATCGAATCTGCATGCGGGACCTGTTCCTGATCTGCAATTAGTTGACGAGCCTGGGTGAGGAAGTTCTGTTAGATGGAGGAGTTTTGGCGTTAGGACTGTCGAATACGAAATCGGTCGATGTGCTGGGACGATTTGGGTTTCTGAACAGGATACCACTTCAATATTATTACGCTGAACGGAATATGCCTGGGATCTTGGCTGGCGAACAGAAAATCGAAGTTAGGCAGGTGGTTCGTTTGTACCTGATGCTATTTGACTTGGGTTTTACACATCAAGGTAAAATCTATTCGAGACCGGTGATCATCATGAACAAAGCGAGGGATATATTTGTTCTGGGTATGAACGGCCAATAGATCGTAGTCCCGTACCAAGTCTTGCAGCAGGGCACGATCTATTTGTGCAGTTCTTTGATACTTGGGATCATGAGAGAACACATGGCCAACGCTATAATCAAGTGGGGTGTTAAAATCACCACTAAACAAAAGCGTATGGGCTTGCGGAATGTGTACAAGGCAATCGCGAAATTGCTTCCATACGTATTAACGGTTTGTAAGTAATTCAGAAATACCACCGGTTGGATTCCACGCCTATTAATATACGGCTAGAATGTCATGTGGTCGAGACAGGTCCAAGCGTACCTACATGAGTCTACCCGGTACATGGTCGGCATTCGAGATGTTGTCTCTATTAATAACACTGGTGCATATCATCACCAAGAGCGATGTAAACTTGGCTGCTCCATATAGTTTCTGCCATTGAAGGCTGCTCCATTCATTCGTCATTGTCCATAAATCGAAGGGTACATAATTACACCACTCAAACCAAGTGGGCATAATGCAATGAATGGCATATATTCCATTAAAGAACACGAACCAGCCCCAACCTAGGGGGTGTTAACACAGGTCGGTTCGATATATGACGAGGCCGTGGTATATTGCAATCCCTTACTCAAGTGCTCGATAATAAGCACGAATAAAGGCTCTTTTTATACGAACACACCTAGTCCGAGACGTCACGAAGCCTAAGCCCGACAACGCCCAAGCCTCATGGTGTTTTGTTTAGTGTGCATCACGTTGCGGAATCAAAATGATATTCTCGTTTTTTCCTAAACTAAGACAAAGAACCCTCGCCCTGCCCTTTGACCTTGCAGATGTTTAAGAACAACTGAATCAGCTGAAGCGCCTACCGGCCACGAAGGCCTCAGCTCCACCCTGCCTACCAGCCATAATGTGGAAACATCTAGCCCCTGATCTGTCCCAAATCGTGTATTATGCACTTCGACAATGCTGGACAATTTAACCCAATGCAATCCCAGAATATTGGATGGCAGGATGGCTTCATTTGCTACCAAAGCCAGGAAAACGCGTTGAGACCAATCTGCTTGCAGCATCCGCTTTGTAAAGTAGCTTCAAGCTTTGCAGCCAGCTCCATCATGCAATACTCTGCAGCTCACTAAATTTCCTTTGTATGCCTACTTACCCCATAGAGATACAATGGATTGCCTTTTGAGGGTTCCGGAACACTGCAGAATTGTTCGAGACCGATGCATTGCACATGCCAAAGATGATGATGTGCTTCATGGTCTTTTTGGGGGCCTTCAAATCTTATTAGACATGGAGAAAAAGCCTTTGACTCTGTTCGTCGCCATACTGCTTACGAGGCTTTGGAAGTCCTTCAACTCCCGGAATCCCTGCATGGTTTTGCACAGTCACTTTTGCCCACCCAGAATGTCAAAGACCTTTTCATCAGGCCGGTCTTCTGAAACGTCATATGCATATGATGCATCAGATACCATGCTTGCCAGAAGATGTCTTCAATGCTTTGCGTGATTCACACGATGGTCTCTCGACATGTATCATTGTAAAATCAATTTTTCCAATATGACGGCGTTAAAAGCACACATCAACCAACATGTCTATCTACGTTTTGATCGATTGCAGGCTATGATGACACCCATTGTGGCTAGACCGGATATTTGCATGCATCTTCGACATCGTTCTGTTGCCCGCCTCATGCTGGATAGGGGCCTTTGTTCAGAGCTTGCGACCAGATGCGCTTTTTGTCATGTATAGATTCATGCCAAAGCCATGTCACGCCACTACCGTGACAGTCACCCTGACTTGCTACGACGTGCACAGATGCATCAGTATTTTGTTCATGGCCTTGCGAACTTCGGATCAGGTCGTGGAGAATGCCCCATGTGCAGAATCAAGACACAGAATGTTCAGAAGCATCAGTGTTGCGCAGTATATCAGCTTGCAGCTATGACGGGGTACATCTTTCAGCCCGAGCACTTCCCCACGATGCCCTATATGATGCGTCCCTGGTATCGATCGGCCCAACCAGGTGATGACCAACTACCAGATGAGGCGCCGACACCTACTCCGGCACCCAAGAAGCAGCGCCTTTCAGAGGCCAGCCCCATGGATTGCGCTAGAGAAACGACTTCCCATGCAGATGTCCCACCTGACCATGGTCCATTTCTTTACAAATGTAATCAATGTCAGGCCTGTTTTCTCAGTGCAACGGGCTTGCAACAACATATTGCCACACAATATTCGTCTTCCAATACGGTCACAGCTGAACCCCCAATGATTCCCAAACGCGGCCGTCCCCCTGGAAAGGACACCATCCAGAGCCGACTTGCTCAACCCAGCACAACAGAGATTCCCATTCTAATCCAAGATTTCACCTGTCCATTATGTCACGAAACCATTGGACGTAAGGCAATCTCTACCCATCTCCGCGCCGTGCATCAGGTTGAGAAGCCCAAGAAATTCCGTTTTAGCCCTAGCAAGACATGATGCCGGGTCGACTCAGTTGCACCCATTGCAAAGCATCATTTAGCATGCCCTTTGCTCTGACCAATCACTTTGACAGGGGAACATGTCCGCAACTGGTCTTGAACTGGGTACGGGATGCCCACTATGGACCTCCAATTGACGGTGCAAGGGCTTCCGATTGGACTCCGACATGCAACTGCA